AATATTTGGTATCTCTTTATCAGCTTCTTCAAATGCTTCTTTTATTTCTTTTCCATAATATCCATATTTTTTAGTATTCTTGTACGCCTCATAATTATTAGTAGAATCAAACCAAAAAGCCAATACATCCCTCAACTTTTCGCTCGTTGGTCTTTGATTTGGATTTGCATTCATACACCTATAAGCTAATTTTTTATAAAATTCAGGAGTTCCTTTTCCAAATTCAGGACGAAGTCCATTACAAACATCTAAAGATAATTTATAATCATGATTCCTATCATAAAATGGAGGGTTTCCTGATGAATATTCAGCCATAATTACACCAAAACTGTAGATATCTGAAGCAAAAGTATATGGTTCTCCATTCAAAACTTCTGGAGCGATATATGGTAATACTCCATAAATTCGAGCATCCGACTTTTGCTTATCTGCTGGTCCTGTTAATCCAAAATCTGAAATATAAGACATTATTTCATCTTGTAAAATATTTCCACTATGAAAGTCCTTATGACAACATCCTAATATATGTAAGCTTTTAAGGTCATGAGATACATCCTTTAAATGATTAATTTTTTTTCTCCATAAAATATTGTTAAAATTATTTGAAAAATAACTTCTCAAATTTCCATCACTTGCGAAATCTAAAATCATAATAAATTCTTTAGTTTCTGGATCCTTAGTTATTCCATAAAATTTTAATGAATTACTTGTTTTATAAAATAAATCCCAATGTGCTTTAAACTAGATTTTGTAATAAGAATTTAAGCAAATTAGAGATACTATTTAATAAATATCAATGTAAATGTAAAATACCTCATTAAAATATTTGGCTGACATATTTTGTGATCCACATAACCTTTTCAAAGCAACCTTCATAGGTACAGAATCTGATTTTTTCCAACTTCCATCATCTTGCTTATTAAAATATGATTTACCATCGATCCATGTTGCCGAATACACTTTGGCAAATCCTCCTTCACCAATTTCTTTCATATCTGTGAATCTATCAAAAGGCACCCATTCTAGATATCTTGGATATTTTTTATTTCTTGTATCATACATTGTATCTTTGATGAATTTATCAATATCAGAATTTCCACTAGTCCATCCTTCAATTATACACCGAGGGTCGCATTCTTTACACCTTAATTTCTCTGTAAATGGTTTATCACAATAAGAACATTTATTATTTTCAGTGACACCTAATTTGCTGAATTCGGATTCTATTAGGACGTGAACTTCATTTTCATGGTTATTTACATCCATTATTTTTTTTTTTAAAAGAAGTTCTGTAATTTCAATAAGGACAAAAAAGGAATTATCATGACCAAATTTAATTCAACCGAACAGGTGATCGGCTATTAAAAATCACCTTACGGAACATAGTAAATCATATGATTCGTAATAGCCCATGATTTGATACTGCGGTAATTATCAAGCTCTATAACTTTTATAACTTTTAATTATTTTAAATACACTGTATTCTTACAAATTATTATTAAGCGTGTTCTAAACCATGAGTTGATATTTTTTACCTTAGCATCCTTAACATAAATTAATTTTTTCAATGATACTTTTATAAATTAAACTATCATCAGTCAAAAATATCGAAAATATAGATAAATCGAGACTTTTAATATAATTTCCTAAATTAATTTGTCAGTAAAGGGATTAGTATTATGACATGTTCGTGCTTAACTGTAAAGCGACATTTCTAGCCCTTCATGTTGCAGAGGGATCTGTAACCTATACGCCAGCGGGTTGTGACACCCAAGGAGCAATTACGCAACGAGGTTCCCACCACTTCAACATCGTTAATTTCTGCAACTATGTTTTTTATTCAATTAAATACCAAAGTTTCTTAGTCGATAAGTTGCTTGAATCTGTAAAATGGCATTTGCAAGATCAAGACGAAGAAAATGATGACGATAGTTTATTAACCTTCTAAAGTCAACGAAAAACTATGAAAAGTCTCTGGTTGATGCTATATCCAATATCTTATCAAAGCGCGTTACGAAATGTCAGCAACGAAGAAAGTTAAAACAGCTAAATTTCATGCCGATGCCTAAGATATATTTTTAGAATTTAAATTCCAAGTATTATTGAACGAGTAAATTTGGAATTCAATTATTAAGAGTCAGAGAATTAAAATGACGATCTAATGAAAGAAAAAGATAATAATTGTCTATAGAAATGAACCTCCCGGGTGCAACGAACGAGCATTATTTATATTCCGCATAATAGCCCGCTACAATACCTTGCGGACGGCTTTTAGGATTCGTTCAATGTTAAAACTTTGTATGTTATTTGTAATTTGGGCATTTGTTTGAAAACGAGAGGAAAAAAGGAGAAGGAAATTTAATAAATAATATTCACTATTCTTTAAGTTAGTAACCAGTATTGTGTTCATCAAATCAAAATATTCTCCTAACTGGTTAGAACGAAAATAAAAAAAATTATTGTTCTTACTTTTAAGGAGTCGAATTTTTACCTTTACTTTCCTTAACGATCTAATATTTCCTTAGACTTTTTAGTTTTGGGTTGCGCGACATTAAGAATTGGACAATAAATTTAACTATTTATCAACGCAAGCACAATAACAATATTATCATTTATTTTCTGATGTTGACTTAAACAGCTAATAATATTGAAGCAGGTATGTTAATATTTCATTATATTAGTTTTTTAAAATATTAATTCAATTAAATGGCATAAACAATTTCTTTGCCAATATATCAACTCCCCAAAATCCTTTATTACATTAATATTGCTAGATGGATTAAGTCATTTATTAATGAATTACATATTATATATATTTAGCATCATTATTTTTTTTTTAAAAAAAAATAGATAAAAGTACAATGATTAATACTACAAATCCCTTGTTCTAATGATATAAAGACAGGAATTAAATAATACTCAAGATCTTGTTTATTTTTAATATAATAATTACAAATGTATAAAATAATAATATGTATTTTTTATTTATTTTGTGATATTGGTTGACTGCGTCTACGATGATCAATATAAAATGAAATTTGTGTAACCATAAAGTATCACTTCATTTTATTTTTTTGTCTTGTTTCATTAAACAACATGAATCTAAATTAAGTAATTTAACGGAATCAAATATATTATTAGGTTTGATCACTTTTTTCATGATTTAATAACTTTTTTTAATATATATACTAGGGACACTAATGATTATGATTATAACTAGTATGATCAATCATAACTATAACTAATATCATCAGGTTTCTGACTGATTGGTTAGCAAACTGATTTGACCAGATTTTGACCAAATTGTTAACCAAACATTTTTAATTAGTAATCCAAGAATACTTTCCATTTAATTATCAATAATTTAGAGTATATTTTTATAAATAAAATCTTCAATTTGTTTTTAAAAAAATTATGATAATGTTGCATCACTAAATATGAAAGTAAATTAGTTTAAAAGAAATAAGTAAAATATATAAAAATAGAAAGTATTAGCAAACGTTATATTAGTATTATTTAAAGTCTTAATTAAAATTATTAATTAAGAACTTTAAATTATATTATTATTATACTGTTGAAATCAAAAAAATTGTATATATAATAAATCATCTATAATTCGTCTGACAATTCGACATAATCATTAATAAGTCTAAAATTAACCTAAATCAACTTATTTGATTTAGTTCAATTAAACTTAAGCTATTTATCAAACTCCTATTAGTCTAATCAGATAATGCAAAAATTATCTAATTGGAAAAATCATTCCAAAAGAATGATAAAAATTATTTATAAGTATTATTCCCACAAATTGAATCAGATCAGATTTAGGCAAAATCTGATTCAATCTGAATCTGATAATTCTGAATCTGATTCGATCTGAATCTGACAAATCTAAATCTGAATCTATATTCAAATTTGACAAATCTGAATTTGAATCTATATCTGTATCTGACAGATCAAAAAAAATTTTTTAACAAAATCTGCCTCTGACATTTGGAATAGCATTTTAATATTAAAAAACAACAATTTTGCTATTTTTTTAACAAAAAGATCACCTTTGACGTTTGGAACAGTATTTTAATGTTAAAAATAACAATTTTGTTATTTTTTTTAACAAAAATCCGCCTCTGATGTTCAAATTAGCATTTTATATAAAAAAATAATTTTTTATTAATAAATACCATCACTAACTTTTGGAATATTATTTTGTTATTAAAATTAATTTCTATTAATTTTTTATTAATAAATAATGTGTCATACTTTTATAATGGTATTTTAATATAAAAAAAAAATAAAAATTAATTTTTTTATTAATAAATATTGCACTTGACTTTCAGGTGGCATTTTAATATAAAAATTAATAAAACTTAATTTTTTTATTATTAAATGCTACATTTGACTTTTGGGGTGGCTTTTAATATAAAAATTTAATAAAAATTAATAAAAAATTGATTTTTTATATTAAAATGCTGCATCTGACTTTTGGTACACAATTTTAATATAAAAAATTAATAAAATAAAATTAATATTTTATTAATAAATATTGTATCCAACTTTTAAGGTGGCATTTATTATTAAAAATTAATTTTTAAATAATAAATATCACGTTGTTACGTCCGATTTGTAACTCAAATAAAATTCACAAAATTAAATAATGCTAAGACTAAACTCAGGGAATCACA